ATTTATTATTTTTTATAAGACCTTGCAGAGGACACTAGTCGGCAAGTGAAATAGCCCAGATAGGAGAAAGGAAAGGCAGTGTGAGGTAGACCAAAGAAATACAAGTAAATATTAGTTGTTTATTTCACATTTGGCATGCGGTAGAGATTATGGCTCCCAAAAAAAGCATTTGGCTCCTAAATATTTTGGGTTTAGGAGCCAATGGCTCCCAAATTTTTTTGTTCTGTCTGGAGCCCTGACTGAAAGGAAAAATGGAAACTAATGAAAAAATCATTAACTGAAATTAAATTAATACTATAATACCAAATAAATGAGTCATATTTTAATCAGCAAAAAGTACCTCCACCCCACCAATGTCTTTTTACTTAATTTAACCACAATATCTCCTCTTATAAAAGATATTGTAGTTGCTAAGCTGTCCCTTTCTTCACTAGCACACCAGTGCTTATCGCTATCATGATTTACCAAAATAGTAGCCTGTGCTGCTCAGCTAACTGAATTTAATAAGCATAAAGATTTGATTTCCTGGAGGAAAATTAATTGTTTAGATTATTCAACCATTCGGTAAAATATTCGATAGATTAATCATTAGAAAAATAATCGTTAGTGGCATCCCTATTCATAATGTAGATTTACGCAAGCAAATGCTAATTTCGGTAGCGTTTGATACATAAGACAGCAATTCTCACGGACACACTAGCAGAAAATGCTACATAGCGTCTCTTCGATTTAAGTCACTGTCACTCTCCAAACACGGCAATGCCTTTACCAAGCCGACCCTCTACAGCGGAAAATCAAAGTAAGCTGCAACCACGCTGAAACTAGCCTCTCTTCGCAGTACGGTTCAGGTACGGCTCAATTCCTGTATGCCAGTGGAAAAGCGCCATGCCTTCTGTGGCCCACCCTAAGCGGTATGTTCTTTCCCTAGGTTTAAACAGCCATCCTACACTGCTATTCAAGTCTAATCCCAACATGACTTTTTTACATTTTATTTATTTACAAGATACTTTTATGTGATTATGAGACAACAGGGTGAGAAAGTCCCTGGGTTAATGAGGGTTGTTCAGGGACTCCACATTACTTAAAGGATACAATGAACTGGACTGGGACAAGCCTGGTACTCACCGAGATGCCCTGGATCACGACATGCCGGTTCCCCCCATCATAATCCGCCACCTCGACGCGGTCCAGGTAGGCATCCGTCCAGTACACCAGCTTCTTCACCAAGTCCAGCGTCAGCACGGTTGGCTGTTCCGTTCTATAATCCACTATCCGAGTCCGATTGGTGCCATCCATGTTGCTGCGTTCCACCTTGGCCACTATCCCATAGTCGGTGAAGAAGAGCATCCTGGAAAGAGATTTGGTGAAATGTGTTGGGTAAATCCCATAACTCACTGACACATGTGCTCACACACACAGTCCACATATTCAGATCTATATGAGGACTCTCCATTCATTTCTATGGGCATAACCCTAATCCCAACTATGACAACCTTAACCCCTTCTCAACCCCAACCTTAACCATAAGTAACCAAACAAAATACAAGACTTTTGGCTAATTTATTTTTTAATTGCATTCACAGATTTTTATGAAATAGAGATTATCTTTGTGGGGACTGAAATTATGTCCGCACATGGTAAATGGTTACAGGTTTTATCATATTGTCGGGAAATCTGACTTTTTGACATTTTTAGCACACACACACACACACACACATAAACACAAACACACCAACCGTAACCCTGAATGAAGACACCCTGGATTAACATGAGAAAACCAATAAACAGTGCAGTGGGTGTTCGGAGAATTCTCCATCCATTTTGAAAGCAACTTTCAGGTAACATCAGAATCAGGATTCTTAATTGTCATTGCATATTGTACAATGAAAACAGCAGCAACAGTAAACAACAACAAACAATAACCAGTAAACAACAAATAAACAATAATAGTAAACCACAAATAATATAAAACCACGATTTATAGGATTTAAAAGTTACAGCGTATAATTATTAAACGGTGCAGCAAAAGTGTCAGGTGAAATATTATAAAATGGGTTTATATTTAATGATGAGCACATCAGCAAAACACCCCACAGCCAACCAGACGGACATGATGGGGAGTGAGAGTATCAGGTTCGCTGGTGAGATGCGCACTCGGGACCACAGTAACGGGTTCGGGCTGCGCAGCCTGACCACCAGAACCTGCTTGGGCCATGATCAATGCACAAGCCGACACCGGTGCCAAGCAGGTAAACGGAAAACACCGGCGTAGACGCACTGGTGCTGCCGTCTGCTCCCACGCAGAGCGCGGCACGGCTCCCCTTCTCCTTCCTCTCCATCTGTCACCACTTTTTTTCATAGTACAATTTGATCAAGCGTCAGAAATCTTGCACTGCCAAGCACGGAACGCTGATTTGCATATCAAATTAAATCAGCATTAAATGACGCCTTTTAGGTTTAACAACTTGCATATTTGTAAAAGTAGTACAGATTGCCAACTCTAACGCTTCCCAGTCTAGCCACAAAAATTGTTTTACTTTTTTCCTCATTTGTACTAATTGTTTACATCTCAAATAACTAATGCAGTATTTTCCAAGTATTTTCCACTATAGTTTTTCACACCTGTGCATTCAAAAACAGATTCACTTATATAAGCTGTACACCCACGTATTTGCAATGAAGAGCCATATAAACAAGTAAATATGTATATACGTCAATACATTAAAAATGGAATTACAATACCAGCCAATATATCCTAACTTCTGAGGAATCCATTTATTTTACCAAACAAGCTTGTCTTCCACTACCATATATTGTGTTGCAGCTAATGACTGTTTATGTAATCTGCGGCAGATCTAATAGCAACTGCAAATCCTCAGCAAAATACAACATGTTCAGATTTAATTGCCCTTTTTCAAAAGGTCATACAAGCCATTAAATACTACAGCACTTATATTCATCTTCAGGTCTGCTATAATTGTTGCCCATCTTGCGCTGCCCTCTGAACGTATCAGGGTGGGAACAGGACACTGCCAGTGCAGTGAGAGTGTATGTACCCCTGGGAGCGTACGCACACTCTCATTGAACCTGTCTCCAACAACCACTCCTCTCTCCTCTCACTCCTGCTTGGGGATAACTTACCCAACTGGAAAGGTATCATTTTAACTCCCCCCCTTGTATTTTTTGTGTTATTTTTTTTGTTTTTTTATTATTGGTTTTGAGATCCTGGCTCACAGCATCTACACAGGGAGAAATTGTGTTGTCCTCAACTGAATGAGCAAATAAATTAATGAAAAGGGACAGAAATGTCCTTTAAATGGAAAAAGGCATAAATGACAAATTTGTTTTATCATCTCTGTTTACAAGGCTGCTGAAAGCCTTAAGTGTAAGTCACAGAGATGTTTACAAACGTTCTGCTTTTGTGTGAACAAGACGATTGTGTGGCAGGACCCACTGGAACAGACTCGCAGGCAGAAGACACACAAACTGGATTAATTAATCATTTGACATAAAGGATTAATGAGCATTCTCCTTATGAACCAAATAACCCAAAAACTCAGAGCAGCCTTTCCGGAATATCTGATTATTCTGACTAAACTATTCCCAAAAAATGGAAATTAAAAATAACAATAAATTTTTTTTTTTTTACTTTTTGCTGTTACCGTTCTTACTGTGTGATTTTGATGAATTTTAATGATTCTATATTTAACCGAGGAGTTTAAAACACCACTGCACTGCAACTAAGACAAGGCCAGGGTAATAAACACTCTGGTTTGAAGACAGTGGTAGCACACAGGCATGACCTTTGCCCTTTGGGTCACTTAGCCTGAACACGCTCTATTTCACTCCCCACCCACCTCCCAACCAGCACAGTCTGCTTCCATAAATTCAAACCAAGGTCCCATGAATAAAAGACCATACACAGCAGGAACCAGGCGTGCAAATTCCTACAGTCAAATTAAATCCATGACTGGCCTTTTAAAAAACTCATAGAGGACCCATTCTGAGTGAAGGATGGCCAGGTTTCTTGGTCCAGGCAGAATAATACATTTCTGAGATACTACAGTCAGCTGTAGGCTGTGGATCTGCAGCCGTTAAATCCTAAATGTCCTTTCATGCCTCTTGAATTTTATACACAAATTCCACAAAAAAAACAAGGAATCGGAAGATTCCCAGCACTGCATTTCCTTGCAACACAGTATGTTTACAGGACACACTACACCGTCACTACTTGGATGTTGTTAACTGTTGGCCTATAATAAAGAATGTTTGCAGTCCCGCTGACTTGGTTTGCGATCGTTTTTTCCCTCCATTTGTCCTTATTTGCATATGTATTTGTAACAAAAATGAAGCAATATCTGATTCGTCATACGTTGAAATCCTCGATAATGGGTTAGCATTCCATCATTGCTTCCTCCTTCCTCCAAGCATTCTCCAGACCAGTCGCCCCGCATGTGTGCCTTCTGTTGGATAAGGCTGCACGTTTCACGCCTTGCACTAACAGCACCTGACAGAAAGCGAGCGGGAGGCATTTAATCCATAAAGTCGAAGCGGCTAAAGCGATACTGTAGGCTTTGAACCTGAGCGGCAAGTTAGCTAAAATAAAACGGGGCTTCGTCAGCTAAAAACAGCAGCCCACTGTGACAGCGTATACAGATGATGGTGCCGGTGACACCGGCTCGAGCTTTTAGCAAAGTAGGCAACCACCATCGTTATGTGAAATTACAGCGACTAGGCGACCCGCTAGGTGCTCACTCCGAAAGCTTGTCATCCGCGGCGGCTTAACTCCATCCGCATTTAATCTGCAGATTCGTTCCAAAGGAACAATCTCAGTTCAAACCTGAGAAAACAGGCATCAGTACATGCCACACTTCCTTTGGCAAAGGTTGGCTCTGCTCGGAACAGCCCTGCAGGGAGCTGGGGACAGTCCCTCTCCCTAGGAACGTTCTAGACACAACTAAGCAAGCTGAGAAACACGCAGTTACCAGCTACGGTGAACTAATAAGACAAGCCATATGGCCTCCTGTCGCGTGAAGCAGCTCCAGCGCTCTCGCCACGCAATGATCTTGTCTCTGTTCTTGGCGGGCCCGACGTTCCCCTAGAAAGCGCAGTAAATTAAGCCAAAGTCTAGCGGCATGCGTGAGGGCGTTTACTTTCCCCTAGAGCGCCTTGGATCACTCCGCATGCAGTTTGGCGGCAGACCTGCATCAGGTTCGGATGTGGCTGCCAATTTGGGTAGGCTATTATTCTTGTCTCGACCAACCTTTGGAACGTATCTGTCAAAGGAGCCTCATGCACAGGAATGATCCTCGAGCGTATGGGCGAGCTCAGGCTGCAGACGGCAGCAACCAAAAAAGCAAGGACGCTCAGTGTATACTTATCAGATGTCCTTCAGTGCATACAACCATTAGCAATCCTTAATTAGCAACCTAATCAAGGAATCATGGAGCAACATCTCTCGGGGGTTGGATTAAAGCACGGGGAGAGAGGTCCACTGCTTGACATAGACCTCATGCCAATATTCTTTTCAGACAGCACCATAGCCATGTACTCCAGATTGCACACTGGGTGTACTCATCGGGATACTGCATTTACATGCAATTGTGCACGTTATGTTACCTTTTGATGTTTGCTCTTTAATAAGGCAATTCGTATAGTTGGCTGAGATCAGAGCAAAGCCTATCTTATACTGAAGCAATTTGCGTCTTTGTCTGTTGGCGAGCTCCTGTAAGTGACCTTGGAAACAAGCTAGTGACCTGTAAGTGACCAATGGCGCAAGCATCTGCCAAAAGAATAAATGTAAGTTTAAATGTAATCAAAATGTTTCAGACTGAAATTATTTTTTGAACATGGGAATCATATTAAAATATGCAAATATTTAAGTAATTACATTTTAGGACCATGGCAGGAACATCGGAAGCAGGGCATGTTTTTAATACCCCAAATGCACAAATAAATATACAGGAAAACAACTGGTTCCAAAACACCAGGTCGAACCAGAGTGGGAATTGCCAGAGCACCCTGGGGGTTTGGTAATGTACCCTGTAATCAAATGGCATTAATGACAATGTCATTATATTATTTCAATATAAGCTATATAACATGGAAATCTCAGGTCATCTTCAGTGAGAAAGGAGCATTTCTCCAATGGACCTGTGAAGATTTCCACCAGCTTCCACATTCTGGATGAAAAAGGGGGAAATACTGTATGGGCCTGGTCTTTATCAGTCACGGCTGTTTCTGGAAATAGAGAGTCTCATTAGAGCTCTGCTGGAGAAATGCAGGTTCGATCCTCTCTGCTGACCCTGTATGATCATAAACATGAAGGGAGCGAATCGCCGTTCAAGCTCGCGATTCATCACACACTTTTACCCAAGACCTTTCTGTGGCTGATGAGCGTTAACAAAAATAATAATTATACTACGATCCTCTGCAGACTCCTCTGGCTGAATTATTCACTTTTAAAAGATTCAAGACGGCATGAATATATTATTTACCCCCCGCAGAAAGCAATTCGGGAGCTAAGTGTTTCTAATGTATTTGTGCTTGAAAGGAAAAACACTGCCACGAAGGCTGTGGCAAGAGCAGCTGTTCATTTGTGTTTTCACATATGAACACCCTCTCCTAAAGCAGCTTATGTTTATGTACATTTCAAACTGTATAAAATTTACTGAATCATGTATCTCTGGGGCAGATGTACCTGCTGTATGCCCCACTCTTCCTGGGAAAAGTGCCAGAGTAACCACAAGCCTATATTGGGTAACTGGTCACACAAGGGGGGATAGATGAAAAAGATATGATACACTAGACCATTAAAGTCAGATAATAAACCAGTAAAGCCAGTCGCAGCTGCCCGCAGATTCAAGGCAGAGATTGCAGGGTTTCCTGGACACCACCCTTCTCCTGTCTTTATAAACTGTTTGCTCGTCTTAGATCTGAAGGCTTTTATTATTATTTCCCATGAACAGGAAGGATCCGGCTGTAATTCCAACTCTGTCACTCACTGACCGACGATCTGGCAGGATTAAATGCCATTGCATCAGTAACAGTGGATGATGGCAGCAGTCCACTTGGGGAGGTGGGGCGGGGGGAGCTGTGCGGGGTGACTTACCCCATGAGGGGGTCCAGCGCAATCCCTCCGGGGTTATGCAGGTCCACATCAATAACAGCAACACATGTGTCTTTGCCCTGACGGCATACAGATATGCGGCCATTGGCCAGGTCGGTGAAGTAAAAGTTGCCGGAGAGCCAGTCAATGGCCATTTGGTCCACGTCTAGAGAGGAAGAGAGGAAAACACAAAGAAAAGCCAAATTAAATCCAAAACAAACATGAGAGAGATATTACCTAAGACAGCTTCACTGCACTTCTATGTCTCTGTTACTAAGCAGGGCTCATAGACACACAAGCTACTGAAGACCACTTTGTGGGAGTCTGGACTGATGAATGTGCTTTAATGTAACATGGCAACGGCCACATTTTGACACGGGGGGGGGGGGGGGGCTCCTGGGTGACCATTGATTACCGTACCATCTCCTATATAGGGGGTTACACACGCCTCTATGGCCAGATGACCAGAACTGATTAAAGAGGATCTAAAGCTCTACGGCCTCCTGTATCAAAACCTATACCTACAGCACATATGCATGCAAATGGAAAATGCATAAAGAAAGTGGATGTGACTCACAGGAACAATGAGTGAGTATATGGGTAAAAGAATCAGCTTTTTGACGGTATTACAAGACCATTACTATGATTATAGAGTTATTATGATAAACATGGACAGCGATTTCGGAATTGAGATAAAGAGGTCTGGTATGATTCAGGCAGAAGCATCCGATTACAGTACATTTAAAGGAAAACTTGCCCAAATTTCAGTCAGGGATGCAGGCAGGGAACATACTGCTTAGATCGACGCCTTCTCTCATGGAACGGGATTCTTCGCTTTGATAGGCTGTTTGTTTCATGGACGCCCCAGGTCTGTTAAAGCATGGCACTCATGTCTAATTGGAAACAGTCTCTCTGGCACGAGCCGAACACAGAGGCAGAGCAAAGCCTGCCCGCGTTCCCTGTTCCTTCATAGCCCATGAATCTTTATTACGGCAGGAAATGTGGCTGCAGCAGAGTGCGCGGTGTTTGTGCTGCGTCAGGCCACCAGGGGGTGCTCCTTTGTCTGTGTGTCCCTGGACTGCCATGGCATCAGTGGCCACGGGCTTGACACACCGCCGCTGTGTCTGCTCCCTCCTCCAAGCGCAGTGATTTTTGGTCATTCACTCCTCATGGTCATTCACAGTGTACAGTTTAATCCCTCAGTTTTGGTACAGGTGTCCTTTCCACAATATGCCAAAGTGGACCGGGTTCAAGGGACCATTAACCTACTACAGCCTTTTCAAGCCACTGAGGTTAGCTGGATAGGAACCCATGCGACTACAGTCACTTCTGGCCGCCACAGACACCTGTCATCAGGGAGGACTGCTGCTAAACATACATCAGCGCTCAGTGGACAACATGAAGATGGCCGACGTGTAGTTTCAGTGTCTCTGGCTGTGAAAAGGTACCCCCACCTTACTACTGGAGTAACCACTGGGGACTCACTGCCACTCAGTGAATATCTGCTCCAGGGATTCATTTTATAGGAAATGATGTCCGGCATTTTAACAAGCACACCAACGGGACACCAGAGGATAAAGCTCTCATCTAGACAACAAGCAATTATGAGGAAATTAAGGCCTCTCTTATGGTAATGTCACTCTGTAATCACTCATAACGCAAATGGTGGAGTGCTGGCCTTTAGGACGGCCTGCTGTAATGTGATAAACCTGGACTCTAGCCTAACAAATTCTTCATTATTCTGAAGATACAATGGCTACGGGCTAAAGCGGAAGTGAGCACTCAACATATTTCAGGAATACAGTATATACATATCAAAGGCTATTCAACGTATTTGTGTTTGCTGGGATTCTGCTGAGGACAGGGACTCGTGAGTGACAGGTTCACACTAAGCCACACTCATATCTGCTTCTAATCACTCACATCACCACAAGTTCCAGTGTGTGCAACACTGGCTCGAATTAATAAGAGCTTTTAACAGTAAACTCTCACACTCTATACTGTTACAAAGGCATGGTTGGACTTAAGACTACTTGCTTGGCTGTTACCAAGGACATCCTTCATATTATATGTTTATGAACTGCAAAACATACTTGAAGACACTTGCATGTTACTCAAGGCCAGTGGTGCAAAACAACGGCATCCTTCATACTTCATGTTTATGAGCTGGCAAACATGTTTTTACTTGACAAACAACATATGAGCTAAAAAAAGTTAACTTTTTCTTGGTGCCAATGCTCAATAGAGACGTGTCAAATGTGTTTAAGGACTCACTTTGCAGGTTTTGTCCAACTCTCATCTCCCACTCCTCAGAGAACACATGCAGGCCCGTCATCCTGCTGCACCAGAGCCGGCTGGCTGCGGGGGCAACCGTCACCCAACAGAGGGCCTCTGTGTTGTAACTGAAATCCATTGTGTGCATTCCTTTCATATTGACAGATTTTAAGGTCTGCAGCAAGGATCCGTTGAGGTGCGTGATGGCGATTTGTTCCGAGTTTCCAATCAGGAGAACAGCGGGTCTGTCGCTGGGCTCTGAAAGAGGAAAAGGAAACACAGGAAGCAGTGAGGGGCGACTTTAATTAGAGGGGCCCAGGGCGGTCAATGAGAGGGTCATCCCGTGCTTTGCAGACACGAGTCGAAGCTGGTGCTGAAGGATTCTTCAATAATGAACAATACACCCAGCAGTTTGATAGCACGGTGGCTAAGGAGAGAGTTGTCATAACTCAAACTATACAAATAGTGAATCACGAGACTAAGTTACTTTGTATTCATTCAGAAGTTAATATCGACTGGATTTATTCAAAATAACCATACAAAAAAATAAAATATAACCGTGCCTTATTGCATCAAAGAAATTAGCTGTGTTCAATCAAAAACCAAAAATCATCAGCGATGTTAAATTCATTGATTCAAGTCTTGAACTATCATATAGCCAACAGTATCTTGTCATTTTTCTCGCCCATACCTACGGCCACACCTTTTGATGCCGATTGTCACTTATGATTGCAGAACCACAGTGATCTACTGACAGCACTATCACGATGATGTTGCACCTTCGCAGCAGGCCGACACGCGATTTACTGCTTTAAGTTCAGGCCTATCAGTGACGACTCCGGAGGCCTAACTCACCGTGTGATATTTCAGGTACAGGGCTCACTCGGACAAGCTGTGATTTATCCCACACCTCTAAGAAAGTTTAACTCAGGACAGTCTACTAATTCAGGTAATAAATCATTGTGGGCTTTCTCCCAGCTACTTTTTACCTTATCTCTCAACAGCTAATCCACTGCCAGTTGTTTCTTACACTAAGCAATAGCTGAAAAATTATGCTGCATTGCTCATAAAAACTTGCTCGTCTTCTGATACAACCCTGAGATATGATTTTCCAAAAGTAATTTCCTCTAATGACAAGCACGTAATTTCTCCAAAAAGCCTCGTCGATGTTTATCATCTAATTATAAGCCAAAAACACCATCCCCTTTCCTTTGCTTCTCTTCAAAGCAGATTATTTTGAAGAGAGTGCAAGTTTATAAATAACGTCTGTCCTCAGCGTTTGATAGCCTGTCCATATTTTCCACTTGTTAAAGATTAAAATGGTCTGTGCAGTTTAAAGCACATGACTTAGGCACATATAGAGAAACAGATGAACAAGAAAAAAAGACATGAAGATCCTGTATGTGTGGACAAAACTTAATGATGTACAACCAGGACTGTGCTACAACCAATTAATAACTCTTTTAAAATTATTTTTCTGCAGACATATGTTCTCTGCTAGCTACTCAGTGTTTTGACACAGATCTAAGTATCTTTTTAACTCCTTCAGTTGTTTTCACTGGGGGCTTCTGTACGCCTCACACATTGCCAGGCCCTGGAGCGACAGTGTGAAAACGCATCTAAGCTCAGTTCAGTGCTTGTTGTCCCGTGCTCTCCCGCTGACCTTGGCTCTCACCAGGATGTTTTATTCATGGCAAACATTCGATGGCAAGCAGCTTATCATGGTCAGAGCGTCACGTTTCCTAAACATCTACTTAGCTGTAATTACGTAAGAATGACAGAGAGGGCGCCGGGGCCACCTTCTGCCACGTTTGGAGCCGAAATCTGCCGAACTTGCACGTTAATGCCAGTGATGAATTGAGAAATTCAGGTGTGCCAAGGAAGACCATGAGATGCCTGAGTTCTTGTGTAAATTTAGACCTGATTCCGGTACCAGATGAAATCCAGGCGGCACCCTAGGCAAGCTTCACTGTCAGTGCCCCCAGTCTGAGACTAAATGAAATCGGCTTGTTAAGTCGGCCCCCCCTCAGTAAATGGCACCCTGAATGGCTGCCTGTGTCTCCTGGTGGGCTGACTGGGTCTGACTGAATCACCCAAAAACTTCACCATTCTTTGTGGAGATGCCAGTTAATGGCATTTATAAGTAGAACTCAGGTAAATGTCATACATTTTAAAGCATTATGTAAACCAAAGTAGCAGGTGTTAATTTCTACTGTAATGTATTCTAAGCATTACATGTCCCATAACGTCCCTATTCTCACTTGCAAAAGTAAGAAATCTAACTGCTGACTGTATAACTTCCCTCAACAGTGAATGGCGACCTATCCGGGAGCATAAAATGTATTGCTGTCTCGTATGTCAGGAAGATCCTGCATTTTAAATGCTAAGTCACACTATACACATAAGATGGTGTTAATTATAAAAAGCCAAGCGTCGGATTGGCTGGAAGGCATGTCGATAGCATTCTCAGAAAAAGGCCGCACAGCTGAGGCATCTCCTTACCATTTTTGGCTTTGCAGGAGCTTCTGTCTGCCTGCAGAATGTAGCCATCCGTACAGCTACATCTGTATGATCCGTAAGTGTTCATGCAGGTCTGACTGCACATGCCATACACACTGCATTCATCGTAATCTTGATGGGAGAGAAACATGTTTGCAACAAAAGCTAAATGTGTCACATGACAACCACACCGCAAGGCCATATCTGATTATTATGCAGTTTCAATTGCTTTTCCTGAACTCCTTTGATAATCCATCTAAAATACATTATTTCACTTGTGAATCATCCTGCTTTAAGTTTCCTCTTGTGCTGTCTCTAAATCTTTCTAATTTAAAGCTGATTATTCAAACAGCATGGATAATTTACAGAGATAAAAGACAGAGCTTTAGCCAGTAATTATGCTAGATCTTTGGGTACTAACAGTCTTCCTTTGGCTGCAGGACTCCCAAATGCCACCCGAATATCACCCTCATGCCCACCTTTGCAACCACGTCCATCAGTCTCCACCTGGAAGCCGTCAGCACAGAAGCAGAATGTTCCGTTCCTGGCCATGACGCAGCCATAGCGGCACCGTAAGTCGTGGCAGTTGGGCAGGAGCTCTGGAGAGAGAGACAGAGAGGCGTGATTGGGTTCCATTTGTCACTGCCGATCGGTGGCAGCAGCTCGAAGCTGGAGCCGGGTTTCGTCAGGTAGGCCTACCGCTGAAAAAAATCCATGACAAGTTCTCTCATATCGCCCCAGAATGAAGGGTGTCAAATTCAATCAAAGGAGAAATGTGTGATTCCTCAGAAACAGGATGCAGACGGTATCTACACCCAGGCTTAATCCTCCCCTTTGCTGAAACACAACCCCCTACTGCTGGAGGAGCGGTTTCACGCTGCGGGGAAAATGGATTATTACAAAAACAACAACAATCTAAGGGTACAAAAGAAGATGGCAACATCCACAGCAGAGAAACACATTTATTAATTACTAAATTAAAAGTTAAAATGATTTTAACAGGTACAATCAAGGTTTAAAGTTCTGGCAGTAGAATTAAGTGTTACAATATGGCATATTAAAATATATGTACAGTATGTTTGCCCCTTGGTTGGCGTTATGCCTCATTACTGTGCCAGGGAGATTAAGGGAGAAGCTGCCTCATGTCCAGGCTGGTCTGTCCAGGTGCGACATTCCTTGCAATCCCACATGGCGAAGCTCCTCGACGAACGAATCAATTACATCATACCGCTAAGGACCGTGCACCCTCGCAGGGGACCGGGAGCTAATTGCGTTCATATTCTGACGTCCGAGGGAGGCGTCGTTATCCAAACGGAGAGACAGCATTGCTCTGCTGCACCTGTGTGTGCCGCCGGGACGGCCCATAATCCCCCACGAAGGGATCGGCCCTTAAATTAATTCCGACATAATCGGTCAGGAGGAATACGCTGGGCGATGTGCCAAAAGTTAGCGCCACTAGAGCCGTTGGACTTGCATGAATCTGGCTTCGCCGCTATCGTGCGCACGTTTTATTTATGGGGGAGCGCTGGGAGAAGGTGATGTCAGTGACCGATTGCGAGGGATTATATTTGGGGGGGGTGGTGGTTGGCAGCTAGCGTTCCTTCTCCGAGGACTGCCGCCCGCTAGCCCACCCGAGCCCCCTCACAGGGAGGAATAGCGGAGCCTGATGCATTATGCATCTCCTACGTGTGCTGGAAACACATTAATAATAGGAATAGACCGAGACCTTCATTTTTATTATCCAGTAATACGATTCCGCAGCCAAAAGCTGCTCACAAGAATGATTACTTTTAAAAATAAGCAGTGGAAATCATAATTGGGCACTCAAAAGCCTGAATTCTTACATCGTAATATATTAATTTGAAAAAGCTCCCAATTTTGTCAATGTTTCCAATATGGAGAATGTTTGTTTGGCAAAGCAGCGAGTGACTTCTTCGCAATCCAATTTTGGCAAACCCATGACAGTGTCACTTACATTGTGTATTTTCCCATACAGCTACAATATGTAGATTATATTTACAGTAGCTGGGGAAAAAAGGTTTAATAGGGAACAGCATAAACCAACAATAATGCTCTCTGCTATCAGGAGAATTATATGAGGACCTAGATCAGATTACAAAATGCGCCACCAAACCAGGCCACAGAAATACATGCTGTGTGTTATAGAGATGACCACATAAAACACTCTTTTAATGGTTGTTTATTCAGAACGGGGATGCCACTAAGGACTACTTTTATATCAATATCGACTATATTTTAAGGATTGGTCGATTAATGGACACGATTAATTTTCCTGCAGAAAATCTAATTTACCGTTTCATTTAAGTTGATTTTATTTTGACAACAACAGCCTGTACAATGACATGTTGTGATGCCCAAAAGTTAGTAATCTGTATAAATTCGGCGTATCCTTACGTTTATTAAATTCAGTTAGCGAAGCATACTATGGAAGCGATAAGCACTGAAGTGGCAGTGAAGACAGGGACAGCTCACAACCACAAGAGGATATATTGTGGTTAAACAAAGCAAAAATATGCAGGTGGTGTGGCAGTACTTTCTGCAATTTAAAGCCCAACACGTTTTTTGTTGTTGTTTTTTTTTGTAAATATATTTTTCATTTTTATTTCTTTTCACGAATTATTATTTTTTATTTAGTGTCCGTTTCCATTTCAGATTTACTTTCCAATAACAACACTGGTCCCAACAAGGCCACCCGCGAACGCATACTGCTACCGTCAATCAACTTAGAATAACCCCAGATTCTAGCCTAAACATTTTCTCACACTCATTCATCGGAAATTCTAAGGGAGCAAGCAGACAACTTTATGGCTTAAATGAGTGTATTTAGCAGCGACAAGGCCAAACGATAGTAGAAAGCTCTCCATACTAAAAGGTAATTTAATAAACATGACAACAGACAACACTTAAATGGTTTTACCGACTATAGCGGTCTAGAATATTGCATGTGTGTGTCCTCTTCAGGTGCTCGAGCGTAGCGCCGGTGCCGCTGTGGTATGTCTTCCAAACCTTGCACAGTGTGAAACCACCTTTTGTCTTGCGATAATTTTAACTGCCATAATTACGTTGTGATACTGAAGGAAATCATTTGTTGTGATGAATTGAAGCGTTTTAGAAATCAGAAAAGTATTTTCATTAACATAACTTAAAAATAACGATGCGTCGATTTAAAATATTGAAAACACACGCTTTCAGCGTCCACTAATCGCGACAGCCCTAATTCAGAATATGAAGTAAATTCGTTTGCGTAGCAGAATATTCGGGTGCCTTATTTATCCATGCGTTCTGTAAATGGCGTGTAATTCCTGTCAGACCTGATTATAGATGCTTTAGTTTTAAGTTAAGCGTTTTCCAGGGGAATTTCTGCACCTGCAGTATTAAGTATCTCATAAGAAAAGTGAACAATATACTCATTATAACATTAAGATTAATAGAATCCACCCATCCACTGCTTAGCCAATACAGGATTGTGTGGTGTTCATTTAATGATTAATGTATTAAATGACAGACACCACTCATAAATAATGATGATAATAATCATAATAATAATGCATTATTGTTGGCGTCAAAATTGTACGTGACGTGTAACATAGATATATAAACTATGCAAACTTGTAAAAACATGAACCTTTAATTAGCGCGATGAAGAAATGTGTTTATGCGTTTATTTTGATCATTTGATTTATTTTGAAGTCAGTGCCTACCAGGTGTTCTGCTGGTTCAGAACCTAACTCTGGCCTGAAAATAAAGACCCAGAAGAAACACATCATGCGGAGAGCTTCCGTCAATACCCATCCATATAACTGTAAAAGCGATAAGCTGCAGAGCAAATAAATAATATAAGAGCGGCACGGCGAGAGCGAGGAGGCGAGCGGGATGTATGCGGGCCGCCCGCATACAGCATCAATCGGCTAAGTGTTTCCCGCGCTGTGCGCCCTGCCAAACATGCGGCCAGCGTCGGCGCTATTGGGTTTCCCATCTCCCTTTGACAGGCAGAAGTAAATCAGGCTCCAGCAGGGCTTTGGAGGAACACTGCCACACTCACCTAGAGGATGGGGAAGCTTCCGGAAAGGGAATTTCTAATGCGCCACACCATCAAAGTGTGATCGTCTGGAGTTCCTCTAACAACTCAGGAAGTTCCGAAGGACCTAAATTAAATGCACAATGTGTCTTGGCTGTACATGGTCACACATTAGAATTCAGGAAGTCTTTTTACATGTATGCACCTTTTTCCCCCCAAATTTGTCTTACGGAAATATGTGGGAACCAAAATGTTAATCATATGCAAACCCATCGCTAAAATTCACTCAATGCTATGCCTTGTCCAGCACATGGCCACGTGGCATATGGCACAGAATTATGGGTAATCTCAAAAAAGAATGGTGGCATTTTGTACTGTACTGATAACTGTGTGACACAAGATCATCTGCAGCCTGTCTGGTGCTCCTTATGTGAAAGAAATCAGTTAGTTTTAAATGAGAGATTAATTATGAAACATTACCAAGATTAATTAACCAATAATGATGAAATGAGAAATATTATCGTGCAAAGAAAAAAATATGTGTGCAAGATGGCACTAGAGAAATATGCAGCTAAATATATTTAATGTCTCCAACATCTGCTCTGCACATGGCCTTTCCTGCAATGTGTAATGTCACACATTCATCATGCTCACCGGCATATCAGAGACTGGTACACACCTTTCCATGATTCGTAGCTTTTCATGTTTTAAGAAGAGAAAGAAGTTAAATCTTAAACATCTAAAACATTTGTATTTCCTTTGTTAAAGAAAAGTGCTTTGGTTTAAGTCAGGGGTGTCAAACTCCAGTCCTGAAGGCCGGGAGCTCTGCACAGTTTTTGGTTCACCCTCATTTAACACACCTGATTCAACTCCTTGTGCTAATTACAACACAGCTCTTGAGCTGAATCATTTGCGGTAGAACAGGAAAGAACTAAGCTACACAGGGCTCTGGCCCCCCAGGACTGGAGTTTGACACCCCTGGTTTAAGTACACCAGAGATATTGTGTTTTACATGATCTGGGACTAGCAGGGATGACACTCACCCTATATCCGGGATTTCTACAGCTGCTTGTTGGGGGAAGATCGAACCGGACGATTCAAAAGACCCAGCCCCAAATTAGATGCCCGTGTCACAGGGTAAAATGGCCTGACTCAGCACTTTCCTAATTTAAAAAGAGTCGAGTAAACAGCAATGAGCATGACAAGTGAAGTGGCCACAGGTGACACGCTCCTGCTCACTTGAAGCAGAGAGATGCCTCCTCAGCTGCTGGTGACCATGGCTACCATCAGACGCAGTGCTCCACTGTAGCCTAACAAGGGCCTGTGACGAGGAATCCACTTCTGCAGTTTTAATTTCAATCCACCAGAGAGATCTTGCTTTAGGCAGACTGCGATTGGTCTTAAGACAAACAGCCAAAGCACAATCACTCACAAAGCTATCTATACAAAGCTGTTAATTAGATGTCACACTGGCTTCTACGAAACACTTCCAGCTTATTATGCCTGTTTTTGTTACTTAGCTTTTTTCAGTAAATGTTTTGGCATAGAAGATGAACAACG